CTTCGTTCAGTTACGTATTGCTAAGGTTAATTGCGTCCTGTTACGAGAACTCATCAGCACCTCTAACCCTAACCTAACTAACCTAAAACCCTAACCTAACCTAAACCTAACCTAACCTAACCTAACCTAACCTAAACCCTAACCCTAAAACCTAACCTAAAACCTAACCTAACCTAACCTAAAACCTAAAACCCTATTACCTATCCTACTAACTAACTAAACGATAGGCCGACGTAACTACGGCTATATAATAGCGACGTAAGAGCTATAGGAAACGTAGGCGCCCGCGAGTTAGGCTTTTAAAGAGAGACTACTACCTATAACCCTAGGCCTAGGCTGTTAAGCCTAGGCCGCGGCCGCTTAGGATAGAAGCGGCTATAGCCTAAGAGGGCCTACGCTAAAATATAAATACGCGGGAGAAGCCCGCGGTAGCCGGCGTAAATTTCTTACGTACTACTACTAAGACCTCGTTTAAGGCAGACCTATACTAAAAGAGGGGAGGGTTTTCCCTTAAGTACTTTAGTTTTTCCTTCCTATTTAATATTAAAGTTCTAGATACCTCTAGCTAGGTCCCTAGTATAATCTTAATAATAATAATAATACTATTAAAAGGCTTACCTTTAAAATTACTTTTATCTTAAAGAATAATATTACTAGTAAAAGTACTACAGTACTTAAGCTACTTAAAGAGATACTTTATTATACTTCTTTTTATAAAAAAGGTTTTAGATATAACTTATAACTATTAATTAAGTAGTAAGAGTAAGTTATATAACCTTATTAATAATAAGTTTAACTCTTTTTAAAGTAAAAGAGTAAGTTATATAACTATACTTTAAAGGGGTATAAGTAATAAACTTAAGGACTTAAAGAGAAAGGATATAAAAGGCTTCTTTTTATATTTAATCTTTTTTAATCTTAGTTTTTATCTTTTATATACTATTCTTTTTACTTACCTTTATAATAGCTATATCTCTTATAAAATAGGTTAATAATAATAGCTTTTAACTATTAATTAAGTAATAAAAGTAAGTTATATAACTTTAATTAACTAATATTTAAGTATTTCTTTAATAATAAAAGGTAACTAATACTATATACTTAAATAGTATATAATATTAATTACTAAACTAAATTACGTTTTATTATATTTACCTCCTTTTTATAAAATACTATTAAAAGCCTTCTTTCTTTAATAATAATATCCTTAAATAAATAGTAAAGTAAATAAATTTAATACTAAAATAGCTTTATATTTATTAAACTAAATAATCCTTTATTTACTACCTTACTATTTAAAAAGCTAAGGTAATAAGAAGGTATATTAAGAAGAGTAAGTATAAGAAGCTATATTTATACCCTATAGACTTAATAGTTATATATAAGGGAGTATTATAAGCTAGTATAAACTTAATATAGTAGTATAAGGCTAAATAATTATTTATTTAAAGGGACCCCTTTAGTCTTTATTAGCTACTTATAAAGAAAGGTTTAGTAGGCTATTAAAGACTACTAAAAGGGCCTCTAGGCTACCGAGGTAGCTAAAGGCCCTAGGGCTAAGGGCCTAGGTAAGTACTATACGTTTATTTAAAAGACCCCCCGCCTAGCCCTTAGCTTAGAAAATAACCTTATAAGGAGGCCTAGGCCGACCCTCTCGGCCTTTTACTAGCTCCTCTTTAAGGCCGGCTTCTTATTTTCCTTCCTAAAAAGGACTAATAAGGTAGACCGAGACGATTACCGCTATAGCTAAGGAAGGTATACGGTAAGGCACCTTATCCTAAGGTACCCGAACTATAGGAGGGAAAGAGAGGTCCTTTACTAGACCTCTAAGAGACGGAAGGGGGCCCTTAGCCTACCTCTTCTCTATAGCTTTAAGGAAGGAAGGGAAGCCCTTTTAACCTTCTTAGCTAGGATAGAGATAGGGATAGCTAAGTAGCTTAAAAAGGAGTAACCTAGGGGCCCTACGGCCCTTAAGGGGGAAAAACACCGCGTAGGAGGAACTAGATTAACCTTTCCTTTATCTTTACCTTTATAGCTACCCTTTTCCTAATTAGTTATAAGCCCCCGGGCTCTATAGCTAGCTAGGACTGCTAATAGGGGCCTAGGCCCCTATTAGCCTCGCTATAGCCCTAGAGGCTGTATGCGAGTAATAATATAAAAAAAAATTTACTTATTTAAAGCTAAGGAGAAAGGAGGAAAACTCTATCTTAGTCGCGCTGCTTGCTAGTCTTTCTTGGTCCCTAGCTCGACTCGTGTTCTGGTGCTGTTCGGCCCAAGTTCGGGTCGAGCTCTGCCCGTGCGTGGGTCCACATCGGATTGACCTCGGCGCCGTTGCTGTGGTGCAACCTCAGCCCTCTACGAGCGCAGCCTATAACAGGGAGCCTGCCTATATAATATAACTCCCCTAGCCTAAGGATATAATATAGGCCTAACTTAAGTATAGGAATATCTTAATGTCCTCTTTTAGCTAGCTATTTATGGTTACTATACCTATATAAGCCCCTCCCTTGTCCCAATAGATAGACCAAGACATGCATCACTAAATTCACCTTTCTGTGCCCCTATTTCTTCCACTGTGCTCTCAAGCCTCTGCTTGAAAAGACAATTATAAGACAGCTCATACGAATACGGCGCAGTGGTAAGATTCTGTTCCAAGCTGAGATGGATAAAACCGCAGAGGACAGTCCAGACGCTCGGTCGAGACAGATTTCGGGGGATACAAACATCGGTCACGAAGGGCCTGCCATCTCAACAACTCCCGGCCGTTGAATCAGCCACCCGGGGCTAAAAACGGCAAGCACCGTCATTTACACGTGGCGTCAGAGGCACCGCTTAACCTCATCTTATTTGACTCTGTGTCTCGCCTCTTTCCTTTTCGGGTCCTGCTGAGCCGGGGCCGTCAACGCGACCAAGAGATTCCATATGACCCATGCACAACCCAGGACCATCGCGGCCGTTGTTCCCAGGCGAACCCACGCGGCACTATCCTCCCTGAGAACCGGAACTGTGATAGAACTCATGACCCGATTTCCCACCTCGGGCTTAGGGCTAACGTGCCAAAATATGGTGCCGGGACTAAATAGTTCATCGTACCCCAAATGACGGCGATCAAACGGGTTGCTCGCAGGATCCTCGTCGCCTCCCGGCTGGCATGCCCAAAAGACGACCGGGTAGGGAACCTCGACTTGCGTATACCCGGAGGCCCTCGGCTTAAGATAGCGGAGGTGAAGTGGCACTTGGGCGGTCCAAATCTGTTCGTCGCTAGAGATAGGAGGCGCCAGTTGAAGCAAGACGTTAGACCCCCATGTCTTGATGTTATACTCAGGAGCCTCTAGCTCAACTGGCAGAGTTGTATACCGAGAGGCACTAAGGTTCTTAGACGCCAAGAAGATCTTATCCTCGAAGTGGTAACGGTTGGCAAACATGGTTTTAGGGAGCGTGAGATATGCATACGGAGCGCACTCCGCGTCTTGAACCGGAGGCTTATTAGTGCTTAGCTTAAACTGTAACGTTGGATGGACGCCTATCGGCCTTAGAAACTCTGACGCAAACGACGCGTTATATAGCTTATGTCGTGAGCGAAAGATAAATAGAGCGGGGGAGGGCTCCTTTTGGTCTTCGAGAACATTTAGTATGCCGTGAAGGCCAACTCCATATGGCCCGAGATTAGGTGCTGAGTCCTTGGTGAAGATGCCCACCTCGGTCTGCCTCCCTGGCAAGACGAGGACAGTAATGGAATGCTCCCTCAAAGGCCAAAAGGCAGAAATCCAGAGAGCCCGATCGGTCGAGCTGTATGATAGGTCCAAGCTGGCGGCCGTGTACAAGGTGCGCAGGCGAGATTGGCAGATGGAGTCTGTGTCTGGGCAAAGGTCGCGGGTTGCCGATTCGACAGAGGCGGAGAGGTGTTCCAGTTGTTGGTAAAAGGACAAGGGCCCCCAGACGCCGCGCTCAGTCGTGTGAGCGGCGGTCCATGCCTGGGCCCGTCAAGTCAGCAAGGTCAGGGCGAGTTTATCCATTGTATTAAATGTACCTCTGTGGTCATGCAGTCCAGAGGCCCCATTATCTGCAGCATCTCGCATAGCTTCACTCTGCGGAGTCGTTAGCATGATGCGGCTGATGCAGCGCAGACCGAGGCGACCAACGGATCATGTGCTCGTTTGGCTGAGGGCGTCAAGAAGACACGCAGACCGGGCGACTGACGGGAGCTAAAGGGCTCGAGCGTGTCGTAGGCGTGAGGGCTCGTCCACGTTAGATGAAGCGCGTGGTAGCCCTGAAGCAGGCTGGCAATGTCCGGCGGCAGTTGGTCCAGGCCGACCGTCAAGCGGTCTTGGCGCACAACGTCGGCCGCGGGGCCCAGGAGGCCAGCTGGCTGGACATGAAAGGCCTTGGGGTCGACAGCGCCGTCTGGGGGGTAGACAAAGGTGACTGTTTCGCGCATAGTTGCCTGTCCGTTGCGCCCAAGGGAAGCTCAGCGACAGCTTGGGCGTTGTAGCGACGGTGGAATTGCAGTTCAACCGGTTCTACCGCAATATTGGGTACTCTCTGGGGCAGAGAATGGGCGTGTATTTGGCAGTTGAGGTCTCAAGGTCAGGCCGGCCTGATGTCGACGGCTGGCCGAAGCTGCAGACGGGCAAGCTCACGGGGTGCCCCGAGCTACCCTGGGAGGAAGGAAGTAGGACCACTGTAATGAGAAGTGGTCATCAGGGGCAAAGAGGGGTACAAAAAGGCCCATCTTTTGGGGCGAGGAGACAGAGAGAGACATAGACCTTATTAATCAATCTCTTAGTCTGTTCACGTTCTTTCTCCCTGGTAGGAACAGGCCCTAACGTAATCCACCCCCTTCCCGGTCAGACCCCCTACTCGGTCAGAAAAAGTCTCCACGCGGCGACCCACACTTATGGCAAGACAAACCGAGCACTATGACGGCAACGGGAGACCAATCGGTTCCACGCGAAGAACGGGTCCTGCTCGCCGTCAGGGCCTATCAGCAGGGCCAATTCAAAAGTACCCGCAAGGCTGCGGCCGCATACGACGTCCCTCAATCGACAGTATCTGATCGACTGCGCGGTGTCATTCGCCGACGCGACGTTCAGATGAACAACCTGAAGTTGACGGCGACGGAAGAGACTGCCCTGGTACAATGGATCTTGTCGATGGACGAGCGAGGGATGCCGCCGACAGTGGCTTACACTCGTCGGATGGCCAACTTATTGCTTTCGAGCGAGGCAAAGATCCTGTCGGGGAAAACTGGGTGCGGAAGTTTGTTGGCCGCCACGGCGAAATCAAGGCAAAGTACTCTCGCCGATACGACTACCAACGAGCCAAATGCGAAGACCCCCAAAAGATCCAAGGATGGTACGATCGAGTCGCGGCGACGAAACAGAAATGGGGGATTCTTGACGAGGATGTCTATAACTTTGATGAGACGGGGTTTCAAATGGGAGTCGCTGCAACGGCGAGTCCTTACCCGGTCTGACCGGCGAGGTCGGGCAGTACTCACGCAGCCTGGAAATCGAGAATGGGTTACTGTGATCGAGTCTATCAACTGCCAAGGTTGGGCTTTACCGGCGAAGGTTATCTTCCAGGGCAAGTTACACCAAGCAAGCTGGTACGAATCAGGAGTGCCCGATGACTGGCATATCGCCGTTAGTGAGAATGGCTGGACTTCCGACGACCTTGCTTTGAATTGGTTAAAGGAAGTCTTTGATCCGAATACACGGCGCCGTACGGTTGGTACGCATCGACTTCTTATTCTCGACGGGCACGGCAGTCACGTCACGCCGGAATTTGACAAGTACTGTACGGCCAATTCCATCGTAGTACTCCAAATGCCTGCACATTCCTCACATCTCTTGCAGCCTCTTGATGTCGGTGCTTTTCGCCGTTGAAAACCATATACGGCCGAAAGGTTCAAGAGAAAATGCTCGCTGGGATCCATCATATCGACAAGCAGGACTTCCTTCCCATGTACTTAGACGCTCGCCGACAAGCACTTTCGCCGTCGAATATCCGAAGCGGATTTATGGCAACAGGCCTTTTTCCGTTTGACCCAAACAGAGTATTATCGCGGTTACAAGTTCAGGTTGACAAAGTCGGTAACGATCACGGCGACAAGAATACTCAAGTCCCAACAAGAGCCTGGAAGCAGCCAAGACTCCGCATAACGTCAACCAGCTTACCACTCACGCCGAAAGGCTTCTTCAACGCCGGCCACAAAATACAGACTCGCCAGTTTCACAAGCTATCAACCAGCTTATCAAAGGATGTCAAATGGCCATGCACAGCGCCGCCCTCCTTGCCGACGAAAACCGGCAACTTCGGTCAGAAAACCAGCGGCGAAAGCAGAGAAAGAACAGCGCCGTGAATACATTGGCGACGGCGGTACTCTATCGGTTGCAGAGGGCACGGTTAGGATAAAGCAACGGAGAGAAGAAGAAGAAGAGCGGGTTAAGCGACGGAGAGTGGAAGAAGAGGAGAGGACTAAGCGCCGGCGAGAGAAGGACGAGCGGGCCAAGCGACGACAAGAAGGAGAAGAGCGGGCCGAGCGACGGCGACAAGAGAACGAGGAATGGTTCAAGCTACGGCGAGAAAGGAAGAGGAGCGGGTCAAGAAACAGAGAGCAAAGGAAGATGAGCGGGCCAAGCGACGGCGGGAAGAAGGAGCGGGACCAACGACTTATAGAAGAGCTGAGTGTCCCAAGACAGCGTGCACCACCACGGTGTAGTAAGTGCAGGTCTTTTGAACACACTGCCCGTACGTGTAATAGATAGTCCTAATCGAGTTACTTGTCTCTTGGAGTAAATATGTCGTGGTATTGTGCTCCGTTTGTCTCGCGTAAGGTGCGGGTCTAGTCGGTGGGGAATTTTTGACCGAGTAGGGGGTCTGACCGGGAAGGGGGTGGATTACGTTAATCCCTTTATTACTGCTCATGACGCACTATCAAACATGCCGTTTCCGCCCTGGAGCTGAGACAGACCCAGACCCGTCAAATTGGAGGGTCCGAATGATGAAGGCGTAGATTGTTGAGTGCAGCTAGCCCCTGATTGGGCCAGCCTAGCTTAGTAAGTCTGAGCGGCACGAGCCCTCAAGGCTCGTGCCCGCGCCCACAGCTTGGGCCCGCAATCATCAACTTCCTCTGCGACAGGCCAGCGTACATAACTACGTACACATTTTTGCTGGGGGGTGCCTGTGACTGTCCCCAACATAATAATAACTTGGCTGCTTCACGCCCGAATGACCTCTCTTTGCTTTGCTTCTTCGTTTCTGCCGGATAGGTTATCGCCGCTAACGCATGCAAGGGCTTGCCAGCGTCTATTCTTCGCATCGACAATATTCCTGCGCGATGCCTGCCGTCGCGCACGTGAGGTTCCGCGGCTGCGCCTCGAACAGCGACTTGTCCCAGTATGGAGAGTCTCGCGACGGCGGCCACTGCTTGGTGTCGGCCAGCACTCGCAGCGTTGCGTGCGTGTTAAAGGGCGTAACGAGCGCCTGCTCGTTGGCCAGCAGCCCGTCGCTGCCGTCGCGGGCGCGCAGCTGTGATGCCACGTGCGCCGGCATCAGCGCGTGCAGTACCGGGTTCTGGTGCTCGACGCGGCCGTTCTGCGTGAATAGGAAGTTGAGGCCCATGTGCAGCCCGTGGTCGGCGTAGAAGAGCACCAGCGTCTTGTCCAGCGTGCCGCCGTCGCGGAGCTCGGCCACAAAGTCATGCAGCTGGTCGTCGACGGTCGCGAGCACCTCGCCCGTTCCCTCGTGGCCCTCGATGAAGTTGACCGACAGCAGCCACGGACGATCGGGGTACACTTCGCGCACGCGCCGAGCAAACGCAAAGTTCCACGCATGCACATAGTCGCCGAAGGCGCACCGGCGCTTGATGCTGAAGGGCCCGTTTAGGTTGCCGTATGCGTCGCCCTGGAGCGCGTAATAAGGCGGCAGGCACGCCGGCCCCAGCATCTCATGGTCCAGTGCCGCCATCGATGTATTGCGCCCTTGGTACCGCGACGACCAGTCCTCGCAGCTCGTGTCGGTGCGCGCAACCACGTAGCCCGCGTCGCGAAACTGCTGCCACACAGGGTCGACGGGGCTGCGCTCCGTTGTGCCCGTGTACAGCCCACGACTGTTGTCCTCGGTGTTGAAGCCCACGGCGTGCGAGCGGAAGAACTGGTATAGGCGGCGTCGGCCGCGCTCGTGTAGCTCTTCGATTAGCTTAGAAGTGCGCCGCAGCCGTCGATGGAAATGACGGCGGGAAACAGCGTCAAAGTAGAGCAGCAGGATGTTGGGCCGCTGCGTCTCGACACCCCTCGTGCTCCGATGCGCCGGCGGCAGCGTGCGAGCGATGCGCAGCAGCAGCTTCTCGTCTGCGCCGCACCGCGCAATAACCGTCTCGGTCGATCGCGTGTCGAGGTGCACCGGCCCCGTGTAGTCCCGACGAAGCGTGCGGCGGACAATCAGCCGATTCATGACATGCTTTTGCTTCTCGAGGGCGGACCAGCTGCGCGTGTCGGGCAGCACATCGTACGAGACTGGCACTCCGTCCGGGCATCCGTCGATGGTCAGGAGTCCATCCTCCTGCGCGAGCTGCGCATCGAAGTCGACGGACAGCGGCGGGCAGGCCTGAGAGCCAGTCCAGAAGTTTTGCGCCCCCTCCGGCAGCAGGTCGATGAATGGCCAGTTTGGCTCGAGGAACCGACACGTCGCTGCATCGGCCTGGTAACGCCGCCCGAGGAATCCGTCTCGCCAGCGTGCTTTCTGGCAAATAAGGGTCGCGCCCATTAACAGCAGCAGCGAGACGACAGTGGTGCCGATGATGCGCCAGAAATGGCGCGAGCCACGGTAGAGTAGCACGATGCCAAGCAAGACGAGATTCAGAGGCACGCCAAGGAAAAGGAACACAAGCATGTTGTAGCCGCCGTGTTGAGGGAACGACTCGCCCCGGTCGGCCGCCCGGAGCATTGCCAGTTCAGCGAACAGCGTAACGCCGAGCGCGATGCGCCAGGCAGTCGGCAACCGCAGAGTGTAGACGAGCGTCATGGCGGCACTGTACAACAGCACGCTGAGAATAAGCTGGATCCCCAGCCTGGCCATGTTCTGCTTCATCCAGTCGAGCTCGCCGCCCGCCAACGAAAGTAAGTAGAAATGCGCCGAAGCGGCGGCGAGGCCGGGCACGGTGAGCGCCGCGTAAATGTATCGCCAACGAGGCATACGCGCTTCATCTTTGCAGCGGCCATGCTCGTTGTCGTCGATGTCACACCGACTGCGAGGGCGCTTCCACGACAGACTGCGGCGCCCGGGTTTTGTCACGGATATCGACTCGCCCAGATGCGTCGATGGCCGGCCATGGCTTATCGTCTTTTCGTGCGCCTCGGGTGATGCGGAAAACATGCCGGCCGACTGTTTTCCCCTTGTGCAGATACACGTTGCGTACGAGTGTGGCTTGCGTTGATGCGCAGCAATGCGTGAATGGATTTATTCTCACGGGACCGCTGGTGAAGCCGCAGTTGCGGTGCTATGCATTTGCCTTGAGGACCGAGAGCGCCTTTATCGCTTATGCGGCGCTAGGTGAGAGAAAGGGGGACAGCAGCGTGTTCTAGACTGGTGTTCCAGACTAACTTACCGCAACCACGGCCTTGTTTTAGACAGCGTCCTCTTCATAAGCGCCTCCCAGGCATGCTACGTAAGCGAGGGCCAGTATGTTGAGACTGAGATTCTCGACATCATTGACATGGCCACGGACGGCCCCGGCTTCATGCTTACGTTTGGTGACATCGTCTGCCTTCGGTCTGCCGACGTGGCTCGCTGGCCATGTTGTCCTTGACCCTGCAAGTGGTGGTCATCCCGATACCGAGCCCTTGACGATGCTCGACGGGTTGCGGCCAAGGGCTGGGGGATGGCGTTTACATAACCTTTACGCCGCGTGGTTTGCGGGGCGATCCCGCGTGCGAGATGAAATTTGGTGTGGACTGGAACAGTAGGTATAAGGGCACCGTCAAGTGGACAATTGTGCCTGACATCAATCAACGGCTGAAATAATTACTCCCGACTTCGTTTGTCATTTAGTTAACCGAAGAATAATAAGGGGCCAAGTGCGCACATTTCAACGCTTGGAGCCGGCGGGGACCTCCGGTCCCAATAGTTGCTGACCGTGAGAACAGGGGCATAAAAGGACTTAGTACGTAATGTTAGCCTTTCTGAGTCGTCACCGAGATGTCTTGGGTTGGTCACCGGGGTGGTGGTTCAGGAACTAAATAGAAAGTACCGTATCGTCAACTTCCTCGTGTAACCGGGATAAAGCCACTCACTGCGCGTTCAGGAGAACACGACAACAATGTGCCTCGCAGGAATTTTGTCGAGAGGAAGGTTTGAGAGGATCAGATCTCGAACGCTCAAAATATAAGTAATGAAGCTGCAGCATGGGATCTCTGCTAAGAACTATCTGCCGGACCAGAACCCGTCCTTGGGGACCTAGGAAGGGTCTGAAGATTATGATAGCTGCAGATCAGGGAGATCGAGCGGAAGCTGCTAACGAAGAAAACTGACGTGGCATACAGCAGGTGGCTTAAGGCTAAGGTTATACAGGGGACATGTTTTTGTGCCTCCGGTGATGGCGATCAAGTCCGAGACATGATCTGGATATACCCTGTGCTTACAAGATTATGTCTCATTCTACTCAAAGGCTGAATCCACCTCCTCAAAATGCGGTGCCACTGCCCCCCCTCTGAGAAGCCACCTCAGGGAGCATTTCTTGTGTACGCTGCTCTTAGCAGGACGCGTTAACCGGTGGCGACAACCACCCATCTAGCAATATGTCTCAGTGGCGCTTTCTGTCTCAGCCCACAAGAGTGTACCAAAGGTTTTCGTAGAGGCTTTAGGGATCAAGCCTGGGTCTGCAGGAGGACCCTTCTCGCCCCCTCATTATCAGCCCCGACACCAGCTCCGACGGCCGTAGTTGAGCCAAACGGGATTCCCCGGCCTATACGAGACGACCCCATTGATGGTCGCCGCGGAAGCCAGGAGACGTGACATCGTCCAGCGCGATCCCATCAGCACGGCCGATTCGGGCGCCAATGGCGTGTCGGACAATCCGCTCAATACATGAGGCGGAATATGTTCCAGCAAGTTGGAAGTATGTAGCAGGCAGGTAGCCTTTGTTATACTGACCCTGTCTTAACAACTGCTATATAGGGCACGTTGTGCAATACGTGACAGTCTCCTTTCTATTACGTCGTCTTAGTCTTGACTCCTGTTGGCGTCCTTTCCATGAAGTAAAGCCCTCGACTTTGCGTGGGAAAGCCTTTGTACAGAAGAAAGATGAGAGCAGCCTAGATGCGGCTACATTGTAGCTTAGACGCCTGCATTCTTCCCTCTTCCTGGCAAAGAACGAGTAGTCGCCCTTACAGGCTGTCATAGTTGGGCGCGCAGAGCACTCGGCCTTTCTGTCTAAGCCGCCTTATATGACAGCAACGACCATATCTAACAAGCACGTCGCCGAGTCTAGGCCATCCAATCCCTTTCCAGCCGATATCGTGGTCAAGGCACAGTGGGGGCTCGATAATTTCGCCTCCCTCCTGGAGAAACACGGAGGAACACATGGCTCATGCTGTAAGTGAAATTTCGCGCTGTCGCGTTAAGAAAAACTGGTTAGAAAAAGGTGTCCATGTAGCTACATGCAAAGAAGAAATTTATCCGACAAGACCGTCCCATGACCCTATCCTCCTTGCACCATCTCAGGTTGACTCAGGCTCGGAAATTTCGATCGATCGATTTCGAAGTCTGGGCTGACTTCTTCAACGCCTTATAGGCTGCTTTTCCTCCCGCCTGGAGACAATTCTCGGCCTCTCTGAGACCCTTGTTGGGGAACAGGCAGCCGTGCCATTCCCGTCTACACTTCCCAAAGTCGCCGTTAAAGGCGTCACAGTTCAGCTTTGAGCCACGCGCCGCCCGTCGCAGGTTGTTCCCCTTGGCCGCTTGGAGCTTTTCGTCGATACAGTTACGTGTCCCATCGAGACCCTTGTTCGGGAACAAGCAACTAGGCAAGAGTTTGAAGCATTGGGTAGGATCCTCGACGCCATCGCAGAGTCCTCTGCGTGCCCGTCGGAGGTTTTTGTTGGTCTTTTGGGGTTCTTCTGTCGGCATGTTCTCTTCGTTTCCGTCTGCCGGATTGCTCTCTTCGCTCTGCACGATGATCTCATCCCAGCACTGCTTCCAGGCCTCTAGCTCAGAAGGGCAAGGATCATCTTCCTCGGCGTTGCCTGACCTCGGCGTCGGTAAATCGGAGTTCAATGATGAAGTAGGCTGGGCACCAGAGTCGGCCGGTGTCTGGGAAGGGCTTCCCGGTGACCCAGATACCAGGCCACTCTCATCACGTGGCGTAGGGGCCGGGGACGCAAGAGCGAGGCCCATCAAGCTGGTGGCCAGGATGGCTGAGAAACGCATGGTCCTCTCGCTTTGGTGAGGGCGGCGCAATAATGTTGATAAAGAGTGTTGAGGAAAAGATTGTTTGGTTCCAATTGATGGATGGATGTTAGTGAAGGTGTTGAGAGTGGAATGAGTTTTTCATTTATCAGTAGCTGGGGAATTAAGAACTATTTATAATTGATTCCAAGTCTAATCTCATACCACGAACCATCTCTCAACAGTACCGGTGATGAGGATAGCATTGATCGCATCCCACGTCTGACTCCTAGTAATCTTAGTTGTGAGGAATGATAGGCCGGTCTCTTGAATCATCTGGCCGGCGAGACGTTGTTGCTACCTATTCGGTGCTGAGGCGACTAATAACCTAGTCGACCGACTCAAGGGCATTTGTTGGTCCTATCAAGGGCGCCGCCATGTCTACGGTACCGAGCAAGTCGCGATTTTTGAGGGTTACTAGCTAGGGAGACTTAGGACTCTACCAACACATGAGGAAGGCGACAATGTATGCCCCCCGCGTTTGCAGGAGCAAGCATACATGTCTCCTAGCTGACAGCCTTAGTAATGTTCTACGGCGAACGTCGCGCATATCCCGCACTAGTCCGGTGGACGCCGCAAATCATGAACCATTGCGAGTCAGAGAAGCAACAAGTTCATGAAGACAAACAGGTGCCATCCGTAGGGGTGATAGACGAAGGTGAATTTTTTGAAGATTTTGAATGAAGGATGAATCAAATGAATTGAATTTTTTGGATCTTGATTCAAAATCTTCAAGCTCCAATTTTCGCGATTCAAGTTGGGTTTGGGCCAATTCAGGCCATTCATGAATAGTTTGAAGGAATCCCCTAAACGAAGTGAATTTGGTGTGTACCTAAGCGATTGCAAAGATACCTCGAAAACGCCAATAAGTAGTATATGGTTTTATAGCCTTCTGGGAAGTCTCTCGATAATCTCGAATATTACAAAAATTAACTTACATAAATACTGATCCGCCCGTCCTAGGCAAATGGACCGAAAATAAGCACTTTCAAAAGCTCTGCCGAATCCTCAAAATATATCGGTCCAACGCGTTCGAATCCGCGATTGTACACAGTTACACACTTGTAGAGCCTCAATCCTCCGAAGCCTCCATTGTATCTGGACAGGGGGTTGATATCGCAGACTTATCGGCTTGGGAGGCAGGAGGTTTGGGGGGTAGGAGGTTCGGCGGGAGCCTCGGTAGTAGCCTCGGTGGGAACTTCCGCCGGAGCAGGGGGTTGAGGAGGAGGATTCTCGCCTGAACGCAGATTAGCATATACACAAACAATGAGGGTATATTCACACCATCTACCAGCTTGCCCGGAAATTGGAATGTGGTCTGGTCTTCAAATAATAGAGCGTGCCGTTGTTGGCGGCGTTGTCTCCCGTAATGGCGAGAAGCTTTGGCTTGAGCCTGAGCTCCTCAAGTGTCTTCTCAACTATCTCTACCTATCCCTCTACTTAAGGGTTTATAGCCTATCTTATGCTTTCTCCCGCTCCTATACGTTGCCGAATATATATATAAGGTATTAAAAGAAGTCCTATAGGTCGCGTCTACCCCTAGGGCCGCCCTTATCCTAGAATCTAGAGATCTACTATATCTAGGGCTCCGGTAGCGTATAGAGGAGCAAATACTACGCTATATCGCGATAGCTATTTAGGCCCTATTTCTTATCTATTATAAACTTCGTTTATAGCTAGCTAAGGAAGAAGTAAAAGGACTTAGGCTTACCGTCCTAAGTCGGCTAAGGGAGCGGCTTCCGCGTTAATAGTGCCGCCGCCGTAGCCGGCGTTATAGAGGTTATAGGGGTTAACGCTAGTCTCGTAGACGGCTCCCTTAGTATAGTAAGAACCTTAATCTTCTCGCTAGCTATCGCGCTTTTAATCGCTTCTAAGATAGCTATAATACTTTCTATCCGCTTAAGGGGTAGCGGGGTACTCCCTTAAGGAGGCGGCACCTTTTCTAAGGAAATATTTATTAAATCTATTAATTAATAGCTTATACTATTACGGAGTAGGCAGAGGTATATATATAGGTGCCGTCTATAGGATAATATTAATAAGCTATATAGAGCTCTTTTATACGCGGCTAGCCCGCCCCTATATATATAGGATCCGGCCCTCTATATATAACTATATAGCTTAGGCTATAGCCTAAGCCTATTACCTATAATAGTTAAAGACTCTTATATTTATACTTAGATAGGTATCTCTTAAGGTCTTACTAGGTTTTAGTTTAACAGCGATAAATATTATATACTAATAGATTAAGGGACGGCCTATAATTATAAGAAGGCTTAGTAACTTAAAAATCCTACTTCTATAGACCTTTATTAAAGGAAGCTATAATATTAAAGCGGAAGGGATAGTCTAGCTTCTAGGTAGAAGTTAAGCGTAGCCCTATACTTAAGGAAGCCCGCTATAAGCTACGATTATATATAAAATAAATTCGCGATATAAGGGAGGCCCTATTAATATCTCGCTTATATAAGCTTAACCGTTTAATAATAACGGCACTATTATCGCGAAGAAACCCTTAGACGAAGCTATATACTATATCGTAGGAATTAAAGCCCCGCGACGGCGGTAAGCAATTAATTACACCGTCTCGAGCGTTAAGGATAGCAGCGTTAGCGACTACGGCGTCGGCGGCGTCGGCGATAGGGGCGTTGTTAGCGTTAAGAAGGTTAAGAAGAGGGTCTATTACGGTAATTAGGATAAGTTAGCACCCCTAGCTTCCGGCACCCCCTACTTCCGGCACCCTTTATAGCACTAAGGTAGGTATATTCTAAACGTAATTAAAGCCGTATTTTAATATTACGATAATTAAATTTAGTGTTTCTAGCTACTCTAGCTACTAGCTATTATAAAGAGCTTTAAATCCTACGTTCTAATTAGCTATAGCGGTAGCTAGCTTAGCGTGCGCAAGCTATTTCTTTATCTTTATAACTTATTTAATTTATATAAACCGCTATTAGGGTCCTAAGGGACCTTTTTATTTTAAGGCTATAGACGATATAATTAATACTCTAGCTACTATATTCGAAGCTAGGAGGCTATAAGCTACTAATTTTACTTATTAAGGCTATAGCTAACCTTACTAAAGAGTAGTCGGATCGTACGGTTAACTTAACCGCGGTTTTCTAGCCCTATAATAAGGCGACGGACTTCTTATAATCGTTTAAGCGTTTTAAGGGTATTATAAATAGCTAGGGTACTAGAATTCTTTCTTTTTAACGGCGTTAACGGCGTTAACGGCTACGGTAAGATAAACCGGCTTAGTAAGGGCTTTACTATATTAACTAGCTATAGTCCTAACCTACGCTACCCGCCCTTAATATTCTTTTTAGTTAGACCGGCCTACCGGGCCTAATAATATACTTAGAGGAAGGTAGCCTTACTAATTAGCGCTATATCGTTAAAAGATACGATTTTTTAAGTTAACGTCGGTAGGCAGCCTTAATTGGCGAGAAAACTAAGATATTAAGAGGTTAAAGAACGTAGGAAGAGTATACTAGTAGAAAAAGAAGATAAATACGATTCTTAAAGCATTTATATATAAAATCGTCGGTCTAATAGCTCCTATAGCTATTAACGATAAGGAGAACGTTCCCCTATAGGTAGCGCTTTATTTAGGGGATAAATACCTACTTAAGCTATTAAATAGCGATAGAATCGCTTATCTAGCCCTTTAAGGAAGTAATAAAGTCCTAATCCTTTAGAAAATTAAGTTTGTTAAGGAACTATTACTATTAAAGGTCCTAGCCCTTAAAGATTATAAGGGGGGTTAAGGCCTAGCTTATTATAAAGACGCATTTAATAATTATAGTCTAATAACGCGATCTAAGCCGCTTCTTAATAGCCTCCTTTTTCTTTAAGCTCCCTAGCACTAGCCCGTTATAGCTAAGGCCCTCGAGGATGCCTATTTCGTCTATATTAAAGCGTGATTCCGGTAGGATTGCCTATATAGCTAGTAGCTTAAGTAATTAAAACTATTCCTTAATCCCGCTAATAGAGGCGCCGTTAATACGGGCAGAATTAAGAGATTTACCTTTAATCGTGCTAATCTCTAGGTTTCAGGCTAAAAAGCTCGAAACTTAGTATTTTCTAAGTAAGCGGGGGTCTCTACTAGCTAAGGTAATACGGCTAGCGAATTCCCTAAGTTAATAATACGTTAGAGGCAGCCTAAGGGCCGCTTAGGCAAGAACCTATTTATAGAGGTGTTTTTCCTACTCTTAACTAAGCCTTTAAGATGCCTCTTTTGCCTCCTTTATAGGTAGGGCTCCTTTAAGACGCGTCTAAAGGGTTATTCTTAGAATACCCTACTTACGACTAGCTTAGAGCTAAGGTATACTATTATTAATAGCTTCGAGCGCTTTTTAGAGCTGGTTTTCGGTATATTTAGAAAGACGAGGCATCGCTAATTCGAATAATACTTATTTTATAATTATTAAATAAGAGATACACGAGAAAACGCGGTCACGATATAGTAGGTAGTCAACGCAATGGTGATGTGGGGAGGTGCCGGAAGTAGGGGGTGCCGGAAGCTAGGTGTGCTGACTTAGCTTTAAATTTATGTGTGGATAAGTGGGTAGGTGTAGGTGGGCGCAATGTATGTGTGCGTGGACGAGGGCATTTGAAAGGTACGGATACTTGCTAGGCCGGGCGCGGTACTTTAGGCGGGGCGGGTTGGCGGGTGTACGTACCGAAAAAATGGGTCTGTTGTACGAATAGTAAAAGGGCGTTGTATAAATAGCTTTACTCATTTTTAATTGTACTGTACCTTGAAACGTCTGGGTGACAAGGCATCGGGTCAAGTCCCACTTTCAGCAGGTGTCGTCACTGCGCGCACATGTAATTACGACGCATGCCAAAACATGTGGAAGTTGAACGGGGAACATGAAGGCGGGGGGCATGCCAAGCTGGTCCTTGTGCGACCATCACCTGGTTTCCCCTCATTCTATCAAGAGCGCTCCCTTCTTTCGGCGGACAAAGACTCTTGGCCAAGCATCGCAGCACAGGTCAAACCGAGAAGGCCACGAACGTCCGGCTAAGAGCAGCTCCAGTCTCGCGAAATTTCAGGATCCTCTAAAATTGAGCTCTCTGCAATGGTGAAGTTCGCCGACGAACACTGTCAACGCCTCCGCGCCATCGTCGACAAGGCCGTCTCATCGGGACCCGGCGGCATTCCCGGCGCGACAGTAGTTGTGTTCGGTAAAGATGGGTCCGAGCCATTTGCCTATTCTGCTGGCAAGCGAGGCCTCTGTTCCAAGGAGAACATGACGCTGGACAGCGTGTTTTGGATGGCATCGTGCACAAAGATGCTTACGGCCTTGGCGTGCATGCAGCTAGTCGAACAAGGCATCCTCCGGCTTGACGATGGCAGCCAACTTGAGCAACTCTGTCCAGAGCTCCAAAAGCTGAAGGTGCTCAAGCAGAATGGGGATACGGAGCCTAAACAGAATGGCATCACCTTGCGTATGCTCCTCACGCATACGGCAGGCTTTGGGTACTCCTTCTCCAATGAAAATATTCGAGACTGGGGATATCCCGCCGGCATCGACGAATTTTCTGGCGACATTGAGGACATACTCCAACCTCTGCTATTTCAGCCCGGGGAGGGCTGGGCGTATGGCGTAAGCGACACGGTTCGTTTATATCAACTGTCTAGCTGATGCTGAAGTCTAGGTCGGCATCGACTGGGCTGGGCTTGCACTTGAGCGAGCCATGAAGATGCGGCTCAACGATTACGTCCAGGACAAAATATGCCTTCCTCTTGGCTTGGAGAATGTCAACATGCTTCCAACCCAGTCAATGAAAGACAAATTGGCCTACATGCATCAACGCTCGCCCGACGGAAGTCTTGCCGCCCGCGATCATCTCCTTCGACGGCCCCTTGTCGTTCAGTCAAGGGAGCAGAGGGATGCCATGTTCCAAAGCGGAGGGGCTGGCATATTTGCAAAGCCGCAGGAGTACTGTCGTAAGGAAAACAAGTGGAATCCCCCCCGACCAACATGATGCCTCTGACAAGTAGGGCGATTTAGGGATCCTAAGCGTGCTCTTAAATAACGGCATATGCCCGCGGACCGGCGCGAAACTGCTACAGCCAAAAACGGTAGACGAAATGTTCGAGAACCAGATACCAAAGCTCCCTCACTTCGCGCGACAAGGACTGGGAAGCGCCAAGCCCGACCTGACGAATCCGGTCCCCCATCTCTACCCAACCGAGGCGGATTTGCCGCAAGGATGGGGCCTCAGTTTTATGCTAACCGGAGGCGCGACGGGTCGTTCTTCGGCAACAGCTTATTGGGCGGGTCTGGCAAATCTGTACTGGTGGGCTGACCGCGAGAATGGCATAGGAGGCCTGGTTTGCACGCAGATTTTGCCTTTTGGGGACTCTCGAGCCTATGGGCTGTGGACTGAGCTCGAGAGCGCCGCATACCAGGGGCTCAAGGGTCAAGCTTGATGTGCCATATTTTTGTATATTCTTATCAATTTGCAATCGTCTAAGCGCAACAGCGCCAGGAGTCGGTGTTTCTTCATCATATACCCAGGGATTCAGCCTCGACACGAAAGGTATCAGGATAGAACAAAAGAGAATTGACAGGATGGCGCTGGATCCTGAATAGGTACGCTTGTAGACGAAGATGAGACGTCTCCAGCAATGCGTGTACCAAGTGCTCACCGCTGTCTTACATGTAGAGAACAGAAGCCACTTGACAGCGTTGTGGCCGACCCTGAGATGAGCATTGGCATAAACACGTGCAGATGTGGTCTATACACGACACCTTCTCATTTCTTCTCTCGTCCACGATGGCAAGAAGGGACATGAAACCGTGAGCATGAGGACGTGTTGAGACAGCGAGCGTACCGGGGTGTCAGGGATACTTCAACGCTACGCGTCGAGGCGTCCACTCATACTCAACGCCTTCGGCGCATCAAGTTGGCTAATCACGACTTCAATCTCTCAGTCCTCATGCCATACTCTTTCAAGCAGATGGACTCCTCGTATTAGTAAAATACAAAGACTAGCTTGCGGATTACAGCTTTGCGGGTTCTTCTTGAAGAAACTTCGCTGGGACAGGAACCCATACCGCTCTTATAAACTCAGCAAACCCCTTGCCCAAGCTGTCAAGTCGGCTGGAACTACTCACGCCCCGCCCCAGGAGACCGTAGACAACGAAATGCACGGCGAATATGTTAGGCATCTCCACCCGCTCGATAAAGTACCAGTCCCTCCAGTCCTTGCGCATGAGCTCTTTTACCTTTTCTCTAGTCAGAAAAGACCGCAGCCAGTCGTATTGCTCCGCGCTCTCTACGAACAGCCCGATGTTGACATTGCCTGCCTTGTCTCCCGACCGGCCCAGGACGACATCACCCAACGGTCGCATCGTCCTGGGCCCAAAGGAATCCAGCGAGGACGGGTTAGCAGTTTCGTAGTTGTCTCTATCCGCCACAGGTTCTGTAATCTTGGGCGGCCCGACTGTAAACCGCCGCTGAGGCCCTGCGGACTGGGAATCGAGAATCGTGACTGCCTCGTCCAGTTCTCCCTGAGAGATGACAGCCGGAAAATAGCCCAGAAATGGTCTGGGGAATATCGTTCGGTAGTCGAATGAACAGTTCATCCCTATTAAAAGTTAGCTTCGACGAATCCCACACAAGCAGCGGCCACGAGTCATTCGTGGGGCCCAGTTTGTGCGGCGTTTGCGAAGGACATCGTACCAGGAAAATGGGCCATGAAGCAGAAGTTCCAGGCCCCGGTCACGGTGGTGACGGCATGCCGATCCCTTGCTTGGGCGAATACGCGCATATAAGTCGTCGACGCGAGCTGAGAATCGGGATTCTCCTCCGAGACGCCGACCCTCTGAAACTCGAGCACATCAATGTCGTCTAGCGTTCCCCATTCCTTGAGCTTGTTCCGGATCTGAGCTTCCTGAACGTCCCATTTGTGGTCAGTGCCGTAGCCGGTGGCGTTGATGAGAATCTCGAGCTGATATCCGCCCCTGTAGAAGACGGCAAGCTTTGTTGTCGGCGGCGGAGGGTGGCCTTTGACTCCGGATACGTGCACTCGATTCTGTGCCTGGTAGACAACCTTGACTCCTGTTAAGTCGGCCTTGACGTCGCTGTTGAGGTAGATGTTGCCTTGAAGCTCATATAAGAGCTGGCACTTGACGGTGTCGGCAGTCACAAAGCCGCCAAGAGCTTCGTGTTTGGTCACAACGCACTCTCCGTTGGCCGCCACCTCAGCTATGGGCAGTCCAAGATCAACGAATGCGCTCGGGGGATATTTGTAGGCTCCAGCGAAGTTTGCCCCGGTGACGTAGGTAGAGCACTCGATCAGGTGCCCAGCCACGAGAGCACCAGCCAGGGCGTCAAAGTCCGACTCTGCCCATCCATACCACCAGGCAGCGGCGGCAATCACGGGCGAGGCGTCTGCGACGCGGCCGCAGATGACGATGTCGGCGCCTAGGTCAAGGCCGCGCTGAATGGCGCGGTAGCCGAGATAGGCGTTGGCGGAGAGGATAGGCATGGTGGCTGGGTTATCCAGGAAAGTGAGCGTGTCCTTGGCCAGCTTGACGTTTTGGTTTCCGTTGTCCAGGTGAAGTGCTGCCGATGACGGGGCAGAGCCGTGCCTCAAGAGCGAATGGACCTTGGGCATCAGGTCGTCGCCATCGACAAAGGCAACGCGCAGCTGGAGGCCGCGCTCGGCAATCTGCCAGAGTCTCTCCATCAGCTCGAGGCCCAACTGCAAGGGCGAGGTCTATTTGGAAAGGGGGCAGTAGAGTCACTCGTTGACGCACCATGCCATGGACTTTTTCGGCCAGGCCCGTTGGGTTGAGCGACCCTCCGTTGACAACAATTTTGATGCGCTTCTCGTTGACGACGTCAAGGGACATTTCGATGCCGGCGAGGGCAGTCGGGACCCAGCCGGGGTGGGACTGGTCCGTCTTTCGGAGGGCGTCGTTGCCCAGGGTTCCCTCTGGTTGCGCATCAGCTTGATTCCAGGACGGCCGGCGACAATGTCGGCGAGTGCACGGGACGAACCTGCTAAATAATCACCCGTGATGACATCGACGGGCCCATACGTGGCTTGGTTGTACATGTGGATGCCCTGGTCGGCTGCGGCGGCCTTATCAGAAGCAGCGACACAGCTCGACTCGGCGGGCGCCACTCACTGGATGCGCCAGAGCAATTGGCGATCCTGACGGGACGTCGGGCAGACACAAAGGGCGGCATGGCGAAAGATTCAAGCTCAAACCATGGAAGAATCGCAGCGGACACTTGGACGCCGGGGGGTTTGAGAAACGGGCCAGATTATGTCTTCGCGGATGTTGGACGAAGCCGTTTGTTGCCGTCTCTCACTCGGTACGAGAACTGTTGCCGGATTGCTATACTGACGGCGGCACCGTTCACGTTAAACTCGCGACGCAGCCGTTGATAACGGAGGGGATGCATGATGAGGAGACACGCCGGTCAAGACAAGTTTATTCATGTCCGGCTAGCGGCCGAATCCGCATTTAGTAGAAACAAATAGATGGTCACATCACATGATGGACCACGACCATCGCCCAAGAGTCTTTCGCTCCATGTCTTGATGCCTTGCAACATTGCCCAGATTGCGGGGAGCGGACCACGAGCCGAGGCTCGCAAGAGTAACTCGCTGCAAGGCGTTTTTGACCCGTCATGTCAGGATACGGAGTGGCGACGAAGGCTCGTGTGAATGACGCCGAGCTCGGCCGGAGCACGAAGGCGCAGAAGTGCCCCCGAAGCCTTGAATACATGTGGCTACTGTTTAATAATGGCTACCTTTGGATGATGGATTGGAGCCTGTCTTTCATCAGCCTCCCCGGGCAAGGAACACATAGTTTCGCCGCCGGTCCGTGTCCCGAGCATCGGTTATGCCACCCCCAGATGATATCACTTTTTGATGCTGCGCAATAGCCGAAGCCTCGCTGCTCCACCCCCGCGTCTGTGCGCGGCATTTCGGGGTTTGTGCTTGGGGTCCACGGACCCGGCATTACCGAACGAGCCAAGGGAGTGTCCCTTCGTGTTGTTGGTGTCCAGACCTAGAGCAATACAAATTTTTGATCGAAAAGTATAGCGACAAGAGGCTATTCCGACGAAGCCAGTTCCCTCCTTTGCTATGTACCATTTCTGGGAGTCATGATCGTTTTTCTTTTCCATTCGACTGTCATTAATCGCCCAGTCGAAACGGCTCGATTTCATTCGCGCCGCGTTCGAAAACCTCTCGTTTGCCGCTCTTGGGCCAAATGTTTCAGCCATCGACCGGCTGCAATAAAGAGCTGCCCCTCACAAGCGTGTCCATATCCTCGGGCACGAGCGCAAGAGCTTGACGAAGAGAGCCCTTCACCTCATGATGCTCCCCCCGACCTGGCACTCATGACTTGTTCTTCTTCTCCGGCCGAACCCTTGGGCGTCCTGGCCGTCGTCGCGGTTGCACGGTCTTCCAGTACTCTGCCACCACTTCCGGCGCCGTCTCTTCCACTGCCCTGCACGACACCCACGAGTTTTCCTTGGGACTGTAGCCCACCCATTCCACCAAGAGTCGCTTGCGGTCGGGGCTGTGCTGGCGGACGGCAAAAATGTTAAACAGGCCCGCGTCCGTTGGGTTGGTTGGCCGGCCGCCTTGCTTTACCCAATACTGCAAGAGGTTCTGGAGCGCATCCGCGTGCAGGTTTGTCTCGGGCTCCCACGTGAACTCGCCCTGACCCCAGTCAACCCGGATTTCCATCGAGTCGCCGACCCAGCGATGCTTGACGAGGCGTTTGAATGGGTATTCCTGTTCTTCGCCTTGGCTCTGCTTGTCTTCGTCTCCTTCGCCTTGGGCTGCTTGCTTGTCTCCGTCTGGCTCTCGCTCCGTCATTTCCTCGCGCGCGTCGGATGGTGCGGGCGTGTGTAGAAGGGCCTGCTTTGGAACAGGGGACATTGCTGGCGACAGCGCACTCAAGCCTGGGCGCTGGGGTTCGCTGCTGGCCTGTCGATGCTTGCTTCCTCGTGGAGTCGCGATGCTGGCACGTCGATGGCTTCGGTCAGCGGCATCGACGGCGTCCTGGTGACACTGTGAGCATGGGTCCCACGCATCTTGACCAAGGGCAGCCGCAAACCGACCTGTTGCGCTGCCGGCTCCTGCAGCCGGCCCGTCGACGACTGGCAGGCTGCTCGAGCCAGAGGCGAGTTTGCTGCGGGCCATGCCCTGGCGTCGGCCGGCAGCTTTGCGCTCGGCGTTGCAGGAGTCCCTTGTCGGGAAGAAAAGATGCCCGCCAGCATGACTCCCCACGCAGCAACTGACGGATTTTTTTTTGTGTGGACGACTGACTCTAGCGCGGAGATGACGCGTGCTTCCAGTTCAAGTCAAGGACGGCGCACGTGATGGCAGACGGAAAGCCATCTCGGACCAACTGGGTCTAGCAAAAGTTGATGTCCACACTTGGCAAAAACAACAGCGCTCTAACCAGCAAGTAGCCATCCAGCTTCTGGCTAGAAGTTCAGGCGCGAAGGATGCGGCACCATCGAAAAAAGAAGGGTCTGGCCGGGGATTGAACCCGGGACCTCTCGCAAGCTGAGCTCAAGGGTGTGACCCTAAGCGAGAATCATACCACTAGACCACCAGACCGGTGAAGGCGAACCGCCACATCACGTGATGATTTGATGCTCAATCGTAACACCACATTTGGTACTTATTCGTGGGTTTGAATCTGCTTACTGTGCATGATCCCATTGAAACAAAGTTGCAACCCTTCTGTGCTTTGTTGAAGCCCGCCCATCCATCCTTCACGGCAGTCACTATGATAATCGTTTACTAAGGCTCCTTGATGTGTAATATGGAATTTTTACTTGGACATGTCTAGTCCAACGCTCAAAGAGCAGCGCCGAGGGAGGATACGTAAAAACAGTCGTGTTCGGCCAACATGTTTGGAACCACGGGCTTATAGGGTAGGACTCGCTCACGTAAGCATCGCCAGCTGGCTTGGAGATCGAGACCCACCCGGCCACCTTCCCGTTTGCTTCTTTCGCCCCTTTTGCATCATGCTGCATTCTCATTGCGGCATGCCGCGTTAGTAGCGACAGGAACCTCTGGCGAATCTGACCCTTGGGCGACACTGGACTAATAAAAGGGCAAATTTAATGGTCGAACGCATTTCCGAGCTGTTGGGCTATGGGAGGGCCACGGTACTAAACGGCACCACATTGCGACGTTCCAGATGTAGACAGTCGCAAGCCGCAACGATGACGTATACGAAGCCAAAGTCATGCTTTTTGTGTGCTTCTTCATTCGCCACTGGCAACAAGTAGATAGCCTCGTTTGGCACCCTTGGCAATCTGTGCAATAGCCCCGCTGCCGCAGCTTCGGCATCATGAGCGCCCCAACACCGGCACCGCTGGTTGTGCATCGCCGCCATGATAAATCGCTGCTCATGGGCCTTCTCCATGCCCTCATCAGGCCCTTGCGACCGCGTCTCGTAAAGGCCCACCACAAAGACCTCTCAAGCTCCGAATATCCACGCCTCAGCCCCCCCAAGAAGCTACTGCGAGACCACGACGTTAATGAACGGTGCGTCGACAACATATGGATCTACGATATCGCGAAAAGGGTCCAACGCGATAAGGACCCGACCAACGTGGAAAGAGGGCATGGCAAGGAAGCGGCGCGACGAATATATTACTTCGCTGGCGGCGGCTGGCAGATGCCCCCGAGCCCTCACCACTGGTCATTTGCGGGAGCGCTCAGCAGTCGCCTACCGCAAACAACCCTGAGCCTCATCTCATACCCCCTTGCGCCCCAGTGCCCTGCCTCAATCTCCATGCCACGCCTGAAGACGCTCTACAGCACCATCATGGAGCAGTCTGCGGACAAGAATGAGCGCGTCATCATCGCTGGCGACAGTTCCGGAGTAAACATTGCGCTAAGCTTGGTGCTTTGGGCCCTTGCGACCGAGGCGCAAGGAGAAGCAGCAAGTAAAGGCCATCCGGCAGCCATAATGGCAATCTCGCCTACCACAGACCTGCGGCACGTTAACACAGACATCCGAGCTGCAGCCCGACACGATCCGACCTTGACAGCCCCGTTCATCGACTCGACAGCCGCAGCCTGGTGCGGCACCAGAGATCACCCGGCCTGGAACGGAGGCGGAGAGCGCGCTCAATGGACTGCAGAAGACCCCCGGGTCTCACCCATACTGGCCCCGATTGAACGCATCGTCGAGCGCGGCATCCAGATGCACGGCGTCATCGGGACTTTTGATGTATTGGCCCCAGAGGCCATGGTCTTCATGGAAAGGTGCCGCGAGCTTGGCGTCGGGGGCAAGTGGTTGGTGTGGGAGGGCCAAATGCACTGCTTCCCCTTGGCCTTTCGCTATGGCTTGAAAGAGAGCGTTCAGGCTGTGGACTGGATTGTCGACGTCCTAGGCCAAGTCTGACAACTGCTTGATAGACAAGAAGCGGACTACCCAATCGCAAAACTTAGGTCTCGGTTAGCAACGGCAGTCGCTCAGCGTCCGCCTCTGGCCTCAAGACGGTGCCATCGTCATCCCGGAATCTGAGAGAAAGGCTGGGCGTAAGCGGATGGGCAAGTCGCGAGTGCAGGCATCCTCGCTCACCTAACGTAGCCGGTAAAGGTGGCCGGCCAAATCGACCCCAAGTACGTAATTGTCCATTCCATAATGCCCGCTCGGCCGTAGTTGTCCGTGTATAAGAGCACGAGGAATGAGACACCGACACCGGTGACGCAGGCTACAAGCACATTATTCACAACACACCTTCCAGAGTTGTCAGTCCAAACTCTGGAGTCGAATGGAGACAGGGTCAAGACTCAGCGGCAGCAGGGGAAGAGAGCGAACCATTTGCGCAGACCGGCAAAGGGCGACGACTTCCACGTCTGATCCCACCACACAATCTCGGTCGTGTGCGCACTCAGGCCCAGGCCGCCAAAGGAGCCAAGCAGGAGAAGCCAGTGCGTGGTCTGCTCTCCGAGAATGTCAAAGATGCTGAGGAGCAAGAGGCATGCCACGGCGCCCAGCCCCGACACCAGCGCGACAAGACCGACAGCCTTTCTCCACCATGCATCGTCGACGAGTCCGTAAAACCGAGGCGAATACCGGACGTGATGTACCGCAGCAACTGTCCCGACAAAGCACACCGACGTGAGAGTGCAGCCGGTGATGAAGACAGGCTTGAACTGATGCGCCGCCATGTCGCTGATGAAGGGGACCCGCGGATTGATCTGGCCAGGATACCGCGGCCTGCCGAGCGAGAGCCAGCGAAGCAGCAGAATGGTCAAGGTGCTGAACCATGAGACGCTGGCGACGATGGGGAAGTAGTGGAGGCGATGGCACGCCCTGGACATGGGAAAAAAGGAGGTAAAGTCGACAGGAGTCATGTCTGCGCGCAACCGGTAACCAGGAGCCTTCAGCTTCCAGAGACTTATTAGACTGCACAGGACACGGCGTGGGAGGGAGGAAAGTCGAGGTCCATGATCTCACGACCACGCCATTTGCATCCCTTTACGCCGTCCACGTGACTGGAGCAAGCAGAGTAGATGATGGCGAGCACAGTATTGCGACTGCAACTTGGTGCTCGTTTTCTGGCGTGACGACTTGCCTTGTTCTCCATTCACTCGGTCTAAAACGGCAACAATCCATCCACCCCTCATAACTCCGACGGGGGGGAATAACCGCCGTTGAGCATGCCTCGTCTGGTTTCAGTCAGCAACGGGCACTTGAATTATAATGAGTCGACTTGGGGTTCACCTTTGCCTCGGGTTACGTGGAGCTCCCGAACAGACGAAGCTAGCAGCAAAAATCCCGGCTTTACTGTATTCAACCCTCCCATAAAAGATGCACTGGCAAACGCATGCCGATGTGCGACCGGCCATGTAGCCGAGCAGTGGGGAAGGCCCGGCACCCACAATGCTTAATTAACCTGAATTTGCATTTACGTTGAGCACATACGGCCACACCTGCAGGAACATAAATACTCGATCCCGTCAAGCTCATGTCTAATGTTCAAGGTCTGCATTTTTTGGCCACCTATGCCTCTAATTCTAGACACGTGTTCCTCCGATTTTAGATAACAACGAACTATACATCTAGGCTACCCCGCTATCGCTAAGTTATCTAGTTAGCCCCCGAAACGGAGTTCTATACGCAGCACCGTTTTATACGTTTAGTTTCCTAGATACTACCGACACCGGTAATTTAACTAAAGAATACGTATCGTAGTCTACTATACTTACCCCCTTAATAGCGGGTTATAAACTTAAGGCCTACTTATAGTACGTTAGCTATATTTATATAGGAAAACGTAATAAGATATATATAGAGTTATAAGTAATTACTGCTCCCCTCTATATATATTATCTAACTTACTCTTTACTCTTTACTTTATATCTAGGACTTCTATAATATATAGTTAGCGATAAATAGTAATATATACTTTATAGGCTAGTTAGCTATACTAGCTAGTAAGTAAGATATAAGGACTAATTACCTTATTAATTAAAGCTCTTTTAAAGAAAGTATTATTAGACTTTAAAGGGTATTAAGCTAAGTAATATTCTTTAAGGTAAGGTAAGGTTTAATTAAAGAAGTAAAATATATTAGTTTTAAATATAAGATATAGTATAAGGAAGGAAGAAAAAGACTTTTAAAGAGAGTAAGTATAAGAGGCTATAGTTATACTTAGTAGACCTAATAGTTATATATAAAGGAGCCTACTATAAGGGCTTTTACCCTATATAGGCCTAGACTAGGGTCTAAGCTAAGTCTATATATAAGCGGCCTCCGCGCCTATATAGGCTAGGCCTATACTTCTCTTCCTTTTCCCTTTTATAGATTATTAACCTTCTTTTAATAGACCGTACCTAAGCCTATACCTCTACTTACTCTATAATAGTATAATCTACCTTTTATTTTACCCTCTCTATATCCCTATATATAAAATAGCTATTCTTAGCTACCTTTAAAGCTAACGTTTAATTACCTAGTCTAGTTAAACCGCCCGCGCCGGTATATATATATATATAAAATATCTATACTCCTATAGCTATAAAATTAAAGCGAATATAATACTTAGTTCGCTTAGGCAATTAAGAGCCTCTTATAATAGTAGGGCTCTATATAACTAAGAGCGGTACTACTATACCTTAGTAAGTTCGACGGGTCCTCTATAGAGCTCGAGCTATAGCTACTTTATATAAAAGTAAAGCTCCGTACTAATAGCGCTATAATAAGGGATATCCGCGCCTAATTCGACTATCTTTACGCGAGCCTATCCCTACGCCTATAAAGGTAATAAGTTTCCTTTTTTATCTTTTTCTATAGTATAAGAAAAGGATAACGCCGGTAATACTATAGATATCTCTATCTCTACCTTAAGGACCGAGGATAGAAAGAGGTAGCGATAGGAGGGTCGCTATATAAGCTATAGTAGTAAATCCTATTAGTTTTTAAAGTACCCGCGCTAAGAAGCGTAGGTAAATATACTCCAAGTAATAGAGGGGCGCACGCGCTAAGATAGAAAGGAGGTTAGGTTTAACGATAGCGACTTTAGCGACGAGTAGTCTTAGTAACGCCTCTACGGGCTTTATTAGCGTTCCCTAGCGTATAGTAGTAGCTACTATATAGACGGGACGTATACTAATAGCGACTAAAAGGGCGGCTAAGATATAGGAAGGCCGCTAATATAATATAACTATAGTAAAAGGGAGTACCTATATAGCCCTATATAGGAGGGAGCGGAGCCTTATATATTAAAGTACCGTCCCCTATATTATAGTACTAAGAGCTACTACTATACGCCGATATAGGGGGGGCGGGATACTATAAGCTTATTAAAGCTAGCTATACGTTATTTTATATACCTTTACTCCCTAGCTATAAGTACTAAAGCCTATCTCTTAAGGCGCGGCCCTTATTAATAATATAGTCTATCTAAGAAGCTTACTTAGGAGGGTATTATACGTTATTTACTAATGTTTTTTCCGCGACTAAGTATATATAGTCTATATAAGGGTTCCGTCCCCTTAAGCGCGGTATTAACTATTATTTAAAGGTATACTTCTTTAAAAGCTAGGTAGGGGTATAATATAAGGGCTTTTACCTTATATAGGCCTAGACTAGGGTCTAGGCTAAGTCTATATATAGGCGGCCTCTATACCTATATAAGCTAGGCCTATACTTCTCTTCCTTTTCCCCCTTATAAATTATTAACCTTTTTTTAATAGACTATACTACCCTCGTAGTATACCTAGGAAGCCTACTAGCTATAACGCTAGAGTCGGTTCGAATCTAGCTAGGGGCACGATTAATTTTTAGTCGGACTAGTAGACTACGCTAACCTACTTATTAATTAGCTAATTAGCGCTTCTAGAAGCGCTTATAAATATACTAGCAGTCTAGCCCCGCTATAAGTAGGCCGGCCCGGACCTCGCCTACCCGGACCTAGCAACGAATTCGTTAGGACCTCCCCCTAACCCCGGTCCGGGCCCCCTAACTAGGAAAATAAAAACCTAGGGCCGATACTAGCAACTTAATAAGTATAGCGCGAAGCCGGTGCGATAACCCGACTACTAGCCTAGCTAAAGGCCGGCATTAATAAAAAAAATTAGCCCGCTAAGCCTTATAGCGGAAAAATAAGGTAGAGCCTAGAAAGATATCGTTATAGGATAAGGTTAGAGATAATTATATAATTAACTATTAACTATTAACTAAAAACGCTCGTACTACCGATTAATACTATATACCCCGCGTACGTAAAGGAGTTACTTACTAAGGTTACTTTATAGCGGGGCTAATACGATTCCGACTAACTATAACGATACCTAAGATAGCTAGCGTAAGATTCCTATATATTATAACCGCGACCTAGTATAAGGGCGGACTAGCTATAAAAGAAGGAAGGGTTTTCCTCTAAGTACTTTAGTTTTTCCTTCCTATTTAACGCCGAAGTTCTAGATACTTTTAAATAGGTTACTAGTATAATCTTAATAATAATAGACTATACCTAAGCCTATACCTTTACTTACTTTATAAAACCTACTTAATTAATATAACTCCCTTAGCCTAAAGATATAATATAGGCTTAACTTAAGTATAGGAATATCTTAATACCCTCTTTTTCTTAAGGTATATAAGCAAAAGCGGAATTTTAGGAAATTAAGGAATTACGTAAGACTACGTAATAGAGGGGAAGAAGGAGTATAAGGTAGGATTTTCAACGGAATTTATTAGTAGTATATTAGTATATAGAAGAGGTGTTAAAGTTAATAATTCTATCTCTATCTACTAGCGGACATGCTGTCTTATATAGACAATTATAGCTAAATAGAAAAACTTTTCGGGACTAGATTTAGGCTACTATATAGCCCTAAGACTAGGAAATTCTATAATGCCTCGAGTATAGCTAGAAGTGTCTTAGTTCTACTAATATTCGTGTTTAAAGGAGGTTAGTCGTGCCGGTGTTCTTAAGAGGTCTTAGCTAGCATTCTAAGCTAGCTCTATTCTTTCGATTCCCGATTATACAATAACTAGCAACTCGTTTAATATATAATAACATGTAAAATAACGAGCGATTCTTGCTCTATAGTATAGGATTTTATCTATAATTATTATACTACTTATTAGCTTATATAATCGGGAGAGTATATTATAGCTGCTTTATTTATAGTAGGAACACCGTTCCTTATACTTTTAGCTAGCTATATATAGTTATTATACTTATATAAGCCCCTCCCTTATCTTAATAAATAGACTAAGATATATATTATTAAATTTACCTTTCTATACCCCTATTTCTTTTATTATACTCTTAAGCTTTTACTTAAGAGCTATAAGCCCGGTCTATATTACTAGATTATCTTTTACCTATTAATATTACCTTTAAAGCTATTTATAAGCTATTAATACCGCTATAACTATTATAAAGTATAGCTTAATTTATATTCTTAGAGATATCCCTTTATAAGAGGGACCTAGGAAGCTAAAAAACACTAGTATAAAATAAGGAAGAAGGAGCTAAAAGGAGCTATAGAAAGGAAGGTAAGAGTAAGAGGGGAAGTAAGAGTAGTAATAGCTTCCTATAAAGATAGTAAGAGATAAGATAGATATACTAGTAACGGCTAGAATAAAGGGAAAAAACTTATAAGAAGCTTAGTAGTTAAAAGGATATTAATAGCTTCTTTAAGTAGGATCTTCTTTATTAATTAAGATACTAAATATATATAAAGAGGAGCGTTAGATAAAGGAAAGAAGGATAATTATAGTAATATAATAATTACTCCCTTACTATAATTACTACCCCTATAAGAATTAAATGACTTTACCCTACCTATCTAACCCCTTACTTTTAATTTTACCTTTATATATTCTATATATACTTCTT